CAAAAAGTGGAGCCTCTGCAGGCCTTCGTTGGTGCTTTCTCCTTTATTTGAATAAAAACTGAGCGTTGCCCCTGAGTCACCCCACAACCACAGAAAAGAGAGAATTAGACAGCGTTTAATGAGCTCAATGCCCACCGCAGCACAACCTGTAAGGAGACCCTTTCCCCAGCTCTGATAAAGCTCCATTCATTGCCAGCAGCAGATTACAGTCGCATTACAGCGCACAATGAAGCGCTGCTGAACAGGGACGAGAGGGTGAAGAATGGAAATGTATTCCCCCGCTGTCGGAGGTGAAGAATGAATTGAAAAGGGTTGTTTAGAGAGAAAACATGCTTGTTTATTTTAGGTATTACAGGATAAAGAAGAAAACTGCACAGCTGCTGAGATTCAACAAGCAAACATTAATAATTAATCGCGGAGGTGGTCTTCAGAAACGAAAACAGGCTTTGTTCCAACCCAGGTGTGGGTTTATTATTGGGTATGGAAAGCCGAGAGTTTATTTATCTGTATTTGACTGATCCATCAACTTTATTATTTTTGATATTCCTTAAACAGAGCTATAGGCAGGGGTGCACATACTATTTTTGGGGTGGTACTCAGGGGGGAACCTATGGTTGCTGCTTGGTCCTCATATTTTTTAATGCACTGAATTCTTAACTCAACTCACAATAGGAACAAAACAGAGTAACGCATTGATGATGCAACATATTTTAATTTTGTCTGAAAACAATAAGTACAACAGGCACATATTGCCAGCTTCACTTAAACCTAATTTTCAAATAACATGACTGAATTGTCTGAATGTAAAACACAATGTGTAAACAGCTGTTTTTGTGATAACAAAAAAAAAAGACATTTTAAAGCACTTAACAAAATTACTATTTCAGAGCACTGAAGTTTTTTAAACGGCATAAATGCCGTTTTTATTTCTACAGACTCTCATCATCCTCATCATGCTCCTGACTGCGTTCAGCTTCATTATTGACTTCCCGAACAACTTTCTGATGTTCTCTGCTGTTAGTATGTTTATCAAACGCTGGATGATTGAAGTTTTTAGTGCCTATGTAACAGGCGCTGTTTTAGTCTGCGAGGGTGGGATTTTCACGGCATAATCTGCACCAAATCTCTGTGCGTTCATCATTTGTTTGAAGCCAGCTGGCCTCCTGCAGCCACTTCTCCGCAAATACTCTTCTTTTGCGGTTCCGACTCAGTCTGACGGTTTTTTGGAGGCAGAGGAACACCAAAATAATTACTTAATGGAGCTTGCTTCTTGGACATCTTTAAAAGCTCCAGAAATGTCTTCCTTCCTCCACAAAGTCTTAGGTGCGCAAATGCGTGCTGCAGCTTTTGTTCAGGTGTGCATTGTTTATTTTGACTGTGCATGCGCACCTGCGAAACACTTATGTGCACCTCTGGCTATTGGTATGTATGATTTAGTAACAATAAAGTGAATATCACTCTAAACCGCATGTTGTTTGATTAGCTTAAATTTTTAATGAATAGTAAAGAAAATTCTAAATTTAATAAACTTCAGTGAAGTGGCAAACATCTGGAACTCATCTCAGCTTGACTTCCAAAAGATATGAGATTTTTGGGAGGACTGGGTTATGCTTGTGGACGGCGCAGCAGGCTGCTGATGGTTTCAATAGGAAGAGACACCCCTGTTACGACTGTTAAGAGTTGGAGACTAAAGGAGAGCGTGTTCTGACAGAACAAATCCACTTCTACAAATGCAAACTGGGATTCCAACTGAAATTTAAATTGTTGCCTTTTGTGTCTCTAGCTCAGGGATTCCCAAAGTGTGGTGTACGCACCCCCAGGGGTGTGCGAGCTGCCGCTAGGGGGTGCGCGAGGTGAAAAGTGTAATGGCTGCAGAGCTCAGAGAAGTCTGTCAAAAGTCACCATTAGCGTAGCCAGAAACTCATTTGTGGGTGGGCCTAAGAAAATGTAAGTGGGCCCAAAAAACGTAATTGAAAACAAGTATATTTTGTGTGTGTGTGTGTGTGTGTGTGTGTGTGTGTGTGTGTGTGTGTGTGTGTGTGTGTGTGTGTGTGTGTCCTCCGCACATGCCCTAGCTCAGGGGTCAGCAATCCGCGGCTCTGGAGCCGCATGCGGCTCTTCCATCCATCTGATGCGGCTCTCTGTGCTTGTAAAATAATGAATGGATATTTAAATAAAAAGCTTTATATTTTACTGCATTAATTTTACATCTGTATGCTAATTCTAAATGTAAAGATTGTCTGAGTAAACCTGAACAGGTCCAACCCGGTCTACTGTGTGACCGGGTTGACGCATCACGCTTGTGCATAATCAAAGGCACTTTCTGAGCTGAAGACGATGTGAGGTTCTGGGACTCTCCTCAGACGCCACATTGGAGACAGGAACAAGCACAGTTCAGCCAAAGTTTCATCATCAGGGAACATTTTCTAAGTGACAAGTCTCTCTGAGAGACCGGGTTTGGAAAACTCTCGCTTCAGTGGAAGGAATCTTCCTGCATGCGCTCTGGTTCTGCGATGCGCTCCATGCCCATCTCCACATCTTCAGCTTGTTGTGCACCTTACGTACGCGCTGACAGTGAGCTGCGCTGAGCGGTGTCCAGCTCAGATGTTCAAAAGGAAGTCTTTTCTTGAGTGATTTAGCTACATCTGCAATTTGCGAAACGAATAAAGTGTCAGTTCGTCTCCATGCGTCGGGGTAATTCTTTCTATTCTTTCTCCGTCAAAATAAACGGCCAAATACGGGAACTGTCCGGTCAACACAAGCCCTGCTTTTAACTGTTCTGTTTTCTTGTGAAAATTGTTACAAATTAAACTTGATTAACACCAGAGCCAGGCGCACTGCACCGTTATCTCCATCACTGTAAATGAGGGAAAAACAAAATGATCGGATCCTTTTCTGACCTTCCCCACCTACAAAGTTTAATTACAACAATCAAACGTGACAGAGCCTGGATTTGTATTCTGAACAGTCTAAACATATTTTAAAAAGAAACATATGACAAAAGTGGCACCTGCTCAGTAAAACCAACAGGGTGAAAAATATCAAAATATTGTCGGCAGAGACGGGCTACAACTTCTGGATCCACTTTATATAAATCGTTTTATTGATTATCGTCTTATGAAAGATAACTTTGACGTACACGAGCGACCGGTACCGGCTGCTGTCACCTGTTGTGAGCAGCGCTCTGCTGTCTGAGGGTAGGCCCCGCCCACAACGCCGCGGCTGCTGCGGTGTTTTCTTTACTGTGGGAAATGGGTAATAATGGCTCTTTGATGGGAACAGGTTGCCGACCCCTGGTTTAGCGTGACGTCTGATATATATATATATATATATATATATATATATATATATATATATATATATATATATATATATGTAGCCATGCCCTGATGTGGGGCTGGGGGGTGCGTCAACATGGCCGGGACATAGAAGGGGGTGCGCGGCTAAATAAGTTTGGGAACCACTGCTCTAGACCATTGTCAGAAGTCACAGATTCAAGCTTGAGTGGATATTTTTGGGTTGGAATTTGAAGCTTCGGCATCCAACTCTGCCAGATTCTGAAGACTGCTGCTCTGGCCTCTGACCTCTGACCCGTGGATCCTCACCCGGTTCGTGGCAGGATCATTTTGTCTATTTTTGACACAATTCTTCTCCTCTGACAATCTTAAGGACACTCCTGATAACCGAGCCACTCTGACCTTTGTTCACCGCGAGCATAAAAATTCAAAAGTCTGTAAAGTCCCTTTAAGAAACCAAAAAAGTCCAGTTGAACCCTTTTAGACTACCACGACCTGGTCGACTGAGAACCTTCACCAGCTTAAACTAGCTTAAAATATTTTTTTCATGCCTCTTAACAACATTCTAACATAGTATAGCTATAAATACATTGTTGAGATTAAAAAAACTTGAAAAGAATGAATAAAGCGGTTCTCTTGCATTCATCTAAAAACCATCTTTCAGACCAAAAGCAACTATTGGATCTGGTGGATGCGGCTCCAGGGAAGATTCCCGAGAGGTGGGGTGAGTGTTCCTTGTTTGTGTTTAAAACCTAGCTTGTTTGCAGATTCGCTATAGCAGCTTTAAATCTAGACCCTTAGGACAGAGCCAGTCGGATGTTCCCTTTCAAGATTCTGATGAAGAAATGAATGTGATCACAATAATAACTGTAATAACACTAACAAGCAGCATATTGGGTTTCAATGAGTTCAAATTGCTCAAAATGACCAAATTGATTCCAGCCCTTCTGTGTTTGTATAAACACAGAGAAGTGCAGCTCTACTGTTGCCAACAGGAGAAAAGCTCCAGCCACCATTGAGCCGAGGAGTGACCTTCAAACTCCTCCACAGAAACATCACTCATCCACACCTCCTTCTCCACTCCCACACTTCATCATGTGGAAAGAGAGCAGGCAGAGGGAAGAGTCAGAGGAAGGCATCCTACCAAGCATTAATGATGTGATTTTAAACCTTTTGTAAGCAGACGAGGTTTCTCTGGAGGAACTTGTCTGCCACGACCACGTTCACACCAACAATAACATGTATGAACCTCCGTGCGCCGGCTCGGCGCCGAACCGTTTCACACCGCTCCACACAAACAACAGCTTGCATTGGCCGCCACAGACAGGTCTGACAAAAATCAATACATGTGCAGCTTCCAGAAGGATTCGTTTGCATTCCTTATTAGGTTTCCTGGCAGGTGATCGGAACTAGAGAATATAGAGCACAAACATGCAGATGTTGTGTCTAGATACACCTGCTTTTAGACTTGTTATAGGGGTTTCTTCACAAATCAGTGTAACCATGGCAACACCTCCAGGGTTTTTGTCCCAGATCAATAAATTCTTGTGTGTGTGTATCTCATTATTCATTCATAATAAGATTATAGACTGATAACTTCACCGGAGGAGTTTTCATTCTTTCCAAACTGGAACCCAACCCAGACAGGAAGTGTGTGTTCTGCAGACAGGAAACAGAAAGAGGGTTCACTCAAATTCTACTCACCTTTCAGCCTCTCTGCAAGGATCGCCGCTTCGTGCTCAGAGAAATGCACGATTGGGGGGGGAGACGGCGGCCTCAGGCGGTCCTCATGGATCTTACGTCGGTGCCTCTCTTCTCTGGCCAATAAGCGCTGTTTACACTCCCACTCGTACAGGTCATCCCTGGCCTGAGCGAAGTCCACGTGGATCCTTCCAGAGTCCTTCTTATCAGTGCTGGAGCCGATGCGCATACGATATCCTGAAGACATCAAAGCTTTGTTAGCTTTGATCTTTACTTCCTCAGAAGGAGGCGGTCGTCTCCAGTGTGCTCACCTGACAGGTACATAGCTTTGTCCACCATGAACTCCTCACTAAAACGAATGTGGCAGAAGTTCTTTTTGCTCTTCCTGATGGCAGTGATCTCCCCACACGGGTCAAACACTTCCCTGATGATGTCATCTGTGGCGTTCTCAGGAAGTCCTCCAACAAACACGGTCTTACAGCCAGGGGGGCGCTCCCGTGTCGACGGAGGGGGTAAATCTACAACAAATCATCATTAAATACTCTAATGTCTGAATCACGGACACGTCTCTGGGCCCCAGGGCCCCACGCCTGTGTTCTTACTGGGGTTCTGGGGAAACAAGGTGCAGCTCTTGCAGTGGATGATCTCCTTGATGAGTGGTACTTCTGAGGGGATGGGTGGAGGTGGGACCAAGCTGATGCCTGCCATCATTGGGTTTATCGGTGCTATGAGGCCCAGACCAGGGTCAAACCTCTGGATACACAGAGAATCTGCGTGACGGCACAAGAAACAACAGATAATCCAACAGGTTATATAAGATTTATACAAGAGATTACAGCCATCAAATAATCCACAGAAACACAGTTCTAGTTTCTGCACAACAGTTTGGAGATTAGTTCAAATAAACAATCATAAATCCTGACATCAGTAACCTTTGACCCTCCAGCATGTTCTTCTGGAGTAGAAGCTTGAAGTAGAAGTTGCCAGTAGAAGCTTCTGTGTAACACGTGACATTACATCTATAAAGTACCTGCATGCTAATGTACCTGATCCTCGTTGCCATAATGAACATGTTGTTTTTCTCTTTTAGAACTAAGAAACCCGACTCGTCATTTATACACATTGATAATTATTATTAATACTGACAGTTTGTTGGACTCTAGCCTGTTTTTCTCCTGCTAACAAGGCTGTCAGTGGCTAACTCTTACACTTAAGTCATTTATCTACATCTGCATTCTGGTGGCATCTGACTCTGGGTCTAGGGTACTGCTGCTCCAGCTGGACCTCTCAGCGGCTTTTGATACGGTCGATCACCATATTTTACTGGAAAGGCTTGGGTCTTGGGTTGGGGTGACGGGAGTGGCACATAAATGGTTCCACTCCTACCTATCAAACCGATCCATCTCTGTCCAGATTGGTGGCTGTGCATCCTCCTGTCTTCCACTGCCTTGGGGGGTGCCACAAGGTTCGTTCTTGGGCCACTGCTGTTTTGTATTGTTCTTCTGCCTCTGGGCAAAATCCTGAATCAGCACGGCCTGAGCTATCGCATTTACGCTGATGACTGTCAATTATATGCAGAAATGGATGAGAAGAATGGGGGCTCGCGATTGGCTGCACGTTTAGATGAGGTGAAGGGCTGGCTGGCACCCAACTTCTTAAAGTTAAATGAAAGGAAGACTGAGTCTATTGTTTTTGACCCCCACGACCACCATGGCTCTCACCCTGCTAGTGACCTTTTAACCCTCAACCCCAAAACAGTGTGTGTCAAGTCTCGGGGTAAAGCTGGATGCTGAACTCACAATGGCTCCACAGATAAACTCCGTAGTGAGGTCTTGCTTTTATCAGCCTTGCCGCCTGACTCGCCTCAGACAATTCTTGAAGCGGAGGCATTTGGAGTCCGTCATCCATGCCTTCATTACCTCTCGCCTTGACTACACAAACGCCCTCCTAGTTGGTGCTCCAGACTCTGCCCTGAATCGGTTGCAGGCCGTCAAGAATTCTGCTGCCAGGTTCTTGACAAACCTGCACCAACGTAGCCATATTACCCCTGTCCTGGAACATCTTCACTGGCTCCCTGTCATTTTCAGAGTACAGTTTAAGTTATTGACTTTTGTATTTAAAGCACTCAACGACCTGGCACCTCCCTGCCTCTCTGACCTGCTCACTCCCCATGTACCCACGTGCACGTTGAGGTCAGCTGACCTCCTGCTGCTTTGCACGCCTTGGATGCATTACAAATCACAGGGTGAACGAGCATTTGTGCATGCTGCCCCAAAGCTGTGGAGCTCGTTGCCCATTGGAGTTCGGCAGGCTCCATCACTGGCGGTTTTTAAATCTCGTTTAAAGGCCCACTTTTAAGATTTGGCTTTTAGACAGTGACTCGTTTTAGTGTTTTAATGTGTTCTTAGTATTCATCATGTTTTATCTGCTTTTGATCAGTATTTCTATCTTCTGTTTTAGTTGTTTAGAATGGTCGCGTTTTGTTTTAGCCTGTGCAGCACTTTGGGCAGCTCCCATGCTGCGTTTTAAACATGCTATATAAATAAACTATGGTATGGTATGGTATGGTATGGTATCTTGTTCTTGCAAAACCAAATGCATGCTCACAGCAACTCAATGTGTCTAAATTCTGTTTTTCAGTCAGGAAAATTATATTTAGATGTAAAAAACAGAATGCAGAGGCTGTTCTAAACGATTTGGCTCTCAGATACCTTAAACCCCTGTCTACCTGATGCAACTAAGCTATTGCTCTCAGACTGGTTTCAGTGGTCAGAACCCTCTGTAGCCCTTCTGCTAACCAGAAACTGTTTTTTGCAGTTCAGGTAGGACCAGTGGGAGGTCTCCACCTGCTCTATGGCAGTAGCTGTTTGCTGTGCTGGTGGCTGTTATACAGACCAGCAGTTAGCTTATTTAGTTCACCAATGGTCAACAAAAGACACAAAAAGAAGAATATTGTTTTTTCGTTGGCATCATGGCGAAGCCTAGAAGTAGAAACTGACCGTGAAGTTTACATAAAAACGGTGTAAATACACAGCAGAAAAGTACTGTAAACTGAAAAACACATTTTCTGTTGTGATCACAGCAAATGATAGAAAAATTAAAAACACTATGTTTATGTAATGTCTACATTAACATATGTGAAAATAACACATTTATTTGTTAAAACAACAAACAATGGTAATCAATACAGAAAAACACTAATACTTATAACTGAACAAGTTTGGACAATATTACATCAAAACATTGTAAAAACTGCATTTTATTCTGGTTCCTTTCGAAAATACAGAGATCTGTAAGTTACTTTACAGGTTTAAGCTATACTTTTAACACTATTGATTAAATTATGCCAAATTTGATAGCAGAAATATTATCAGTTGAAAACATTATTCATAATTGCATCATGAAACTGAGAAGGTATCATGTGCTGCTGGGATCACGGGGGAGTCAGGACAAATATCAAATGACTACTCTGATAAATGTCTAATGGATAGCTTAAATGGTAAAGCACCTGACTAACGTGCAGAGGACCTGGGTTCAAATGCAAGCTGGGACAATTACCAACAACCAGTCTAAGTCATTAGGTATACTGGTGCCACATACTACCTCATACCATGATGTATAAAAGACTGTCTGCAATATCACCTGACTAAATAAGTTTTATGCAAAATTAACAAAAACTTTTTGTAGATTTAACAGATATTCAATGTGATTTCAACCATGATTTCAATCACTGTCAATTAATTGAGTTCTTCAGTAAAAGTATTTACTGTGCAGCTGTAAAATCTACAGGAAAACTCTGGTAACCACATCTGCTAGGGATTTCCTGTAAAAAAGACATTTTTTTAACATTTTCTTACAGTGTAGAAGTAAAAGTAACAGTAACAGTTTACAATAAGGGTTCCTCGTTCTCGCTGACTGACAGCTCCCTCCTGTGTGAACGCGACTCTATGGGTCAACGCGGTAGGCTTGCAGAAATGACTAGTTCAGCTGTAGAGGCCAGGGAAGGGACTTAGAAAAAAATACAATATGAAACATTATTTACTTTTACTAATCGAACAGGGTCAGAGGGTCAAATTTAAGGGTTTTCAAAGTAAATTTAACTGTTCAAACATAGAGCTTTAATGATGCATCAAGTCAGTGTTTGCCCAAACCATTTCCAAGACAAGCCAGGACCCCCATCCTCAACTCCTACATGCATACACCGATAAATGTGATCATTTACAAAGTTTACACAGACGGAAAGGTGTAACTTTTATACAGAGTTCTGATTATACTGTAGGGTGTGTTATTGGGATTTTATAAAAGTTATTCTTACAAAGAAAATCTTGCCAAACTCATAAGTTCAGCACAGACAAAAATGTGGGGACCCTCTGCAATCTTGTGGAACCACCTCTGGGGTCCCGTACCCCAGTTTGGGAACCATTGCACTAAGTAACGTTAATAAAGGGACCCTTACTGTAAAGTGTTACCAAAGTAAGACAGTAATGTCTTTGGAATGAAAGCAAAGAGCTAAAACCAAAGTGAACATTGGCGTGAGGGAGCTGAAAGAGGATACAAAATCATGGACTGATGGTGACCTGGTTTTGTTGTTACTGGACTTGAATGTAATGATATTTTTTTGTCCAACAATGTGAATCTTTTTACTTTGTGGCTTTTTTTGTATCAGTTGGCCCACATTAGCATTAGCTTGTTGTTAGCGTTAGCTATAGCAGGCTGAGGCAGGGCTGTTTACGACAGTTTTAATTCTGCTTTTGACCAGTAGGGGGAAGAAGAAACACATGTTACTTTAAATAAAATAACAAAGAAAAAACTAAAGCCAAAACTGAGATTAAAAAGAATCTTTATGCCAAAGTCAACATTTATAAAATCTGGTTTTATGGTCAGAGACAAGGAAATAACCCTGAATGTGCTAATAGAGGAAGGGAGAGCCCTTTTAAGGAAGGGAGGGAGGGAACAACAGCATGTCTTTGCTGGAGGACAAAGAAAAGTGAAGAAGAATAGGAGAGATAAACAACAAAAGGACAGAAGCGACAGGAGCAATGCTTCTCCTGTCTGGGTGAAAATAGGGCAGGCAGGCTGGAGGAGGGTGGTGCAGCATCGCATCTTCAACACTGCAATAACAAGGGAGCAGGAGGAAGAAAACATCAGCAAAAAATCCTCCTCCATGCTGCCCACACAGCCACAACAGCACGGAGAATAAAGTGATTCAAATGACAGGACAGGGAAGCTGTCAGCAGGGAGAATGACAAATATCCCTGCTGTAATTCCATACAAATAAATGTTTCTTTGTGTGTGTGTGTGTGTGTGTGTGTGTGTGTGTGTGTGTGTGTGTGTGTGTGTGTGTGTGTGTGTGTGTGTGTGTGTGTGTGTGTGTGTGTGTGTGTGTGTGTGCGCGCGTGTGTGTGTGTGTGTGTGTGTGTGTGCGTGTGTGTGTGTGATAGACGATAGATCTCAGCACTGTGCACTGAGAACACACCAGGAGCTGTAATAAACACATTATAATAACATTAATGTGTAATCTGTAGTACTTATTTGTTTAAATAGCTGAATAATTGTAATAATAATAATAACAACAATAATTGCTATAAATTCCCTAAGCATAGCTGTATGTCATTGATACTATTTATATGCAAGAACTTTTGATTTTTACAACAGGCACTCGTTGGGCAGCTATAGGGTCCTTTAAGAGTATATATTGATCCGTTAGCAGCCCTGAATGAAGAATGTAAAGATTAACAGCTGCTGCTAACCATAGATATGTATATATGAATATCCATGCTACTAATGGCTCAATATACAGTATATTCTTAAAGGCCCCCTTAGCTGCCCAACGAGTGCCTGTTGTAAAAGATCAACAGTTCTAGTTGCAATGACATACAGCAATGCTAAGGGAATTTATAACAATAATGATAATAATGAAAGTTGGACTAGTTTCAGTCCAGATATTTCATACATTTCACATAAATTTAGACAGATAGGATCTGATTAATACATCAGACGGTGTCGGTGGGCATGAAAGACGGTGATTAACTAATAAATATGTGAGAAAAATATTTTCTAGAATCCAAAATTAAAGTTAGCAAAAATACAAGAAGGACATCTGAATGTTGTCCGTGGTGTGTGTGTGGGCCCATTCATGCTGGAGTGTGATAGTGATGATTTTCTACATGCATAAGCTGTTCTGATCCATTTTAGGAGTATTTTGAGTGAAACTCTTTTCTTGGATGGTTGTTTTTGCGCAGCACGACCATATATGGTCATTCCTAATATTTTAATTTTCCCTCAGTATTAGAGTACACTGAGAGCTGCAGGCTGTTAAATGCTTCCTGCAAAGCGTTTTGTTTTAAAAAGAGAGAAAAAAGCATCTTGGAATCTTTATCAGAGATCTTTAGGCTTGTAAAAAAATGGAAACGGAAAAACAAAAGATGTAGTGAGATAATCTGAGCTGCCAGGAGGCATTAAGAGACTCCTCGAGTGTTGGGAGGAAAACTCATTAAAAGGCCTTCTGCTGTAACCTTGACAGGTGAAATTGCATATCTATGTGCAACGCATTCATCATAATCACATGAGGTTGTGCTTTTTCTTCCAGAGCCAAAACGAGTGGAGCCAGGTTCATTTCTCTGGCTGAGAGCTCAGCTGCTTCTGCCAGAGACAGAAGCAGAGGAAGATATATAGAGAGGGGAGACAAAACACACACAGGAGGACAAGGAGGATGAAAACCAGAGCAAATAAAGAGAATAAAGGTCTGACAGAAGAGAAAGGAGCGTTAAATCCTTAAAATGGGATTATTTTAGAGACGTGAGGAGCAGTGGGAGACATGTGGCTGTAATTACCCCACAAGTGAGAGACAGGAAACACAAACACACTAATGTGAGATTAAACCAGAACCTGGTTTAATCTAAACTTAAATAAACTTGATAATAAACCCTGAAAGAGCCGCGGGCCCTGCTGTTAGCTGTGCTTTTAAAGGGTTTAAACACGCTGTTGACTAATTAAACATTTTGTGGTTCAAATCTGCCCTGAAAGAGTCAGAGCTGTACTTTCTGACGAGGACAAATTAAAGATAAAAGTCATGTTAATCGGGAGCTAAACATGGCGAGATAATCCAGCAGAGAGAGGGTGCTACCTGGAACCAGCGGCTGCCCGCTGAGGCCCACTGGCATGATGCCCAGGTTGTTCATGGCCGTCGCCCACGCTCCCTGGTCGGAAACAGGAGCGCTGAGATGGTTCTGCTCAGCGCCCAGACCGCTCGCTCCATCAGCTGCTGCAGACGAGAACATCTCAGCAAATCCACCTCATTGAAGTTTGAGTCAGAGCTGAGTGTTGCTGCGTACCGCCGGCCATAGCAGGTGGTCCTGTTCCTGTTTCTTCTGTCCACTCATCAGATCATGTCTGTGGTTGACAGAAGGATGGAGGGACCTGTGGAAGACAAAAACAACATCTGGAATCTTGTTGGATCATTTCTGCTTCTCACTGTTATGCAGAAGTTTCTTCTGAATCTCGTCTGAGCAAGAGGGTTAGAGTTAGGGTTAGCAAGAGAAACGAGAAGGTCAGAGTCAGAGACCGAGCAGCTGCAGGGTTATAGCAACACCTTCATGAGTAAAAAACTCAAAACGACAAATCAGGATGGAAGGAAAAGAGAGAGCGCACACAAACACACATATACGCACCCACCCACCCACCCACACACACACACACACACACACACACACACACACACACACACACACACACACATATGCACCCACACACACCTAATCTGGATAAGAATCTTATGTTTAATGAACTGCGGCAGACAGTTACTTAACACCTGTGGCTGTGTCTATTGTAGCTTTGACTGTGTGTGTGTGTGTGTGTGTGTGTGTGTGTGTGTGTGTGTGTGTGTGTGTGTGTGTGTGTGTGTGTGTGTGTGTGTGTGTGTGTGTGTGTGTGTGTGTGTGTGTGTGTGTGTGTGTTTGAAGATCTAATGTACCTTCACAGACATGAGAACTGCCTCGTTTTTGTCTCTCCACACGCTGATAAATATAATTTTATGATGTTGTTCAGGTCTCAGGCGATTGAAGCTTCTTCTGTTTGTGAATCTTTATTTAGTTGTTTTTAGATCAGCGTCGTGAACTCCAAGCGCTGCTGCTTCTTTGTTGTCATCTTTGTAATCAGCTAAACATGTGTGTGGATTATAAGTAACGTTTAGCAAACACTAAAATGGCTTCAGCTGACTCAGTTTTAAAGATGGGGACCTTAATGTCACTGTGCTCGTTGGGGAGTCGCTCACAACTCCCAGTTCTAACGGATTCTGCAAAGATTTGGCTAAAGTTAAAAAATGTTTTTCTCATGGAAATCTACCAGTAGTCTCAATGTTACTTTTCTACTGTTTAAGGAAGTGAGTCATTGCTACCATGTGTACATGGGTCTTCCTGGGTCTACGTGGGTCTCTGAGGGTCTCTGTGGTTTTATGTGGGTCTCTGTGGGTCTCTGTGGGTTTACGTGGGTCTCTGTGGGTTTACGTGGGTCTCTGTGGGTTTACGTGAGTCACTGTGGGTCTCTTTGGGTTTGTATGGGTCTCTGTGGGTCTCTGTTTGTCTCCATCCTTCTACCATCTGACTGGATGATGCCCAACTCCTCCGAGTGTTTCTGCTCACTTTCACTCACCATGAAATATTCACAGCTCAACTCATGTCCTGTTAATCATTTATGAGCTCAGTTGATCTCTGAATCATTCAACCCCAACACCAGGAGGTAGTCTCTCACAAACAAGCACCCTCGTAGAAGCCCCATCATATTTACATACATGCTGCAGCTCTGTAGGGCACAAAGGCGCATTAAAGCAGTAGAAATGTTAAGCAGCTGGATTTGTTACAGCTTAAATCTGGCAATCAGTCAGCCCTGCAGCTTCTGCTGACCCCTGATAAAGCAGAGCAGTGGTCAAAGCCTGCACCTGCATCACCTGGCCTTCACCCTTCACCCAGCATCGCTGCACCACAGCCTCCACACCCACCTCGCCAATAAAGCAACCTTCAAATACCTTTAGTGGGCAACCAGTTGAGATTAATTCTCTTCGTGAGGAAACGCTGACAACCGCAGGGGAGCTCAGAGGTAAAGGTGTTAAAGCTTGTCATATCTGGGAGGATCCATGTTGTTGATGCTGCAGCAGGACGACAGGAAGCTGCTCAGTTAGCTGGAGGAGGTTTGATTAAATCAAGAGAAGCTGGAATGTCCAGTCTGCTTTGTTTTAGGTGTGATATTGACCAGTTCACACACACACACACACACACACACACACACACACACACACACACACACACACACACACACACACACACACACACACGTCTGAATCTGCTGGTTAGTGAGCGCATTTAACTTATGAGCCCCATGAGATGTCTAAGCTGCAGCTGTTACTCTCCTGCTTAGACTCTATCAAAACCTGGATGGCTGGGAGCTTTCTTCAGCTGAATGTAGTATAAAAACTGAGATACTCATCTGTGCCCCAGAAAAGCTGGTTCCCAAAGTCAGAGACTCTCTTGGTCAGCTTTCTTCTCACACCAAACCTTCTGTCAGGAATCTTGGCATGACCTTTGACCCAGCTCTCACCCTGGATTCTCATGTCAGTTCTCTTGTTCGCTCTTCCTTCTTCCATCTCAGGAACATTGCTAAGCCGAGTCCCATTCTGTCCCGCTCTGAACTTGAGACACTTCTCCACACCTTCATCTCCTCGCGCTTAGACTACTGTAACTCTCTTTTCACGTGTCTGAGCAGAACCTCCCTGAACCGTCTACAGGTGGTTCAGAACGCCTGTGCTCGGCTTCTGACCAAGTCCTCCAAACACACCCACATCACCCCGCTTCTCCTCCAGCTTCACTGGCTGCCAGTCAACTTCAGGGTTCATTTCAAGATCCTGGTTCTGGTCTATAGGGCCTTACATGGACAAGCACCATCTTACATTGGTGATCTTCTTAGTCCCTACACCCCCAGCAGGTCCCTGAGGTCCAGTGATCAAAGCCTACTGGTTGTGCAGCACCAGGCTAAAGACCAAAGGTGACAGATCATTTGCTGCTGTGGCACCCAGAGTCTGGAACTCTCTCCCCCTGAGCCTGAGATCAGTGGACTCAGTGGACTCCTTTAAAAGCAGCTGAAGACTCACTTGTTCAAGCTGGCTTTTGTATGACCTTCTTCACCACTCTTTCTTTATTCTGCTCTCCCCACCTATTCCACCTTCCTCAGGATCCACTGATTTCCCTCTTTCCTATTCTCTCTCTCTCTTTCTTAACATTTTTTCAATCACAATTGCCTATTTTTTGCTCATTTAAAATATATTTTTAAACAATTTCCAAATGCTTTTTATATTTTTACATTTTTTGTTTTTGTGAAGCACCTCTTGATTTTTATCTTGAGAGGTGCTATAGAAATGATATTTTCTTCTTTTTCTTAGCAGCAATAAAAGCAGCAGAACATGTGTGTTCTCAGTCAGCCTCCAGCGACACTCAGGATGTCCATCTTTAAAAGGCTGACCCATAAATCCTGATAAAAATGTCCTGCTGCTCTGCTTTTTAGTGTTCCAGTTCTTTTAATCATGTTCCACAAATTCCATCTGCATTAAAAATATGACTGGAGCGTGGCACCAAGCCCAGGCGGAAATCTGTAAATATTCTGCCTTCAATGACACCCTGATCCCGGGATTAGATCCTGACACATAATTCAACAGCGTGGAATGAGCAAACTTAGGTAAATTTAAATTTTTGACTAAAAGGTCCTTGTTGTTCTCACGCCGAGATTAAAGACAGTGGTGCAGCAAGAGTTTAGAACTGTTTCCAGAAGTTGGGTGTGGAGCTTAGCCGCGGGTTGGGAACGACCCGGTCTGCAGCTTGGATGAACACTTTAACCAGCTCTACTGGTAAAGCTGGGAGAATGAGACTCTGGTGCAAAAGTCCATTTATGTCAGTAACTCAGCTGAGACTGCGAAACCATCTAAAGGCTCAGGAGCCCTCTGCAGGAGCTCTGGATGCATCAGTTGATCAGAGTAGCACTTTGAGTCTAGAATATTGAACCTTTTCACAATATTCTGATTGTCTGAGATTGTGAATGTGGGGTTTTCATCAGCTGTAGGATACAAGCATCACGGTTAAAACTGAAAAGGCTGAAACATCGGGATTTGTGAGGAATGGGTCTGTCTTACAGGTTAGTTTCATCTTTTAGGTTAGATTAGGTTTGTTGCTGGTCCTGGAGGGCCAGTTTCGAGCATGTTTTAGCTGTTTTTCTTCTCCTACACACCTGACTTCAATCAGCAGGTGATTAACATGGTCCGGAGCTGCTGAACAGGTGAATCAGCCTCTGAATCAAGTGTGTTGGAGCAGAGGGATAATGAAAACATGATGGATACGGCCCTTCAGGGCCGCATGTGAGAACCACTGATCTAGCTCAGAAGTCTAGACCAACCAGAGCATTAGTAACAAGATTTAGCTCTTCAGCACGCTCCCTTTTAGCCTCAGCATTGGCCCAGGCACTTTGGTGTTACCCAATCACAGAGCTCTACTTTGTGTGGTGGGCTGAGCGCCACAGCTTCAACAGAAAAAAATTACAAAGATGGTTCTGGAACTCGTTCGTCATTAACATTGGATGATTAAAGCTTGGTTTATGCTTGACGCATTCACTTTCCGCTTGGTGATGTGGCTCGTGGATGGAACACGCTTCACAACTTGCAGCGTTTATTGTTCAAGCGGCTTGTCTCTGTGGTGAGCCAATATTCTCCCAAACTGTAGGGGGCAGCATGGAGCTATATGACATGCATCCAACACTACACCATAGTAGAAGTAAAAATTACTGTTGTTAACAATCAGAATCAGAATCAGAATCAGAAAAGGTTTATTGCCATTGTTAGTGAACAAACGATTCACAAACTAGGAACTTGCTTCGGTACTAATGTGCTACATATGACATGAATAATATAATTAAAAAATAGAATAGAGTAGAATAAAGTAGAATAAAATATAATAACTAGCATAAAACTTTGCTATAAAAAATGGCAGGTAAAGGTAATATGGCCGATAACGTAACGTTATGTCAAGTACCGAAGACGAGCATGGTTGTGTGTTTATAAGCTGTTCACAAGTCTAACGGCAGATGGAAAGAAGCTGTTCTTATGGCGAGAGGTTCTGGTCCGGATGGACCGTAACCTCCTGCCCGAGGGAAGCGGCTCAAAAAGTCTGTGACCCGGGTGAGAAGGGTCAGCTGCTATCCGACCTGCACGCCCACGAGTTCTGGAGACGCACAGGTCCTGGAGAGATGGAAGGCTGCAGCCAATCACCTTCTCAGCAGAGCGCACAATGCGCTGCAGTCTGTGTTTGTCCCTCACTGTGGCTCCAGCATACCACACAGCGATGGAGGAAGTGAGGATGGACTCAATGATGGCCGTGTAAAACTGC